GCGGACGCCTGGGCGCCGTGTACGGGCGCCTTAAAAAAATATGCAAATTTTTTGGCGGGAGAGCGACCTCGGGAACCACACCAGCTAAGGGGCTGAAACTTTGTGGGGATATTCCCTGTGCATGTACCTGCTAAAGACTTTTGAATAGTAAAAAAGCTGCTAACTGAACCCCTGGGGAAGGGGGGAGGGGGAAGTCTCCTCGCAGCCCCCCCCCCTCTGGATCCACCAATGTAATGCGCAGAATCTCCGGAGCAGTAAGAGGACCGGGACAATCACAGTGGGATACTCACTGTGAGCAGAAACAAGTACCACATGCTCCGCAAATACCACACCCGCAAGCGAGACAAGCGACATCCGAAACATAAGAAAACAAAACGATTACAATTACAACAACTCGGCTCGGCTGGTGGTCTATGGTGTTTTGGCTATCCAGCGCCCCGTTCTATCATCTCTGCCCCACACTACTTCGCGGCGTCACTCGCTTGTAACTTGGCGCTTCCCAGTGTTTAATGGCTGGATCGCGTGCCGGGGGCAGTGGGGGGAGAAGGATTGGATGTGATTGTGAGATGCTTGTTGGTGGTTCCCTGGAAACACCTCAGAGGGCGCTGAGCTGCTTACAGGGAACCACCAACAAACTATCTTCCACAACAAGCCGATTCCTACAGTTATACTGGAGGCATGTATTCCTTGAATTCACCGATTAGCTTTCATACGTACGGGTTTGTGTGTGTTTTCACAAGATTAAGCATGAAATCTCGTTCCCTGCCAAGCATTTATCGCGCATAACTGTACCAGACCTCTCGATCCCGCGCTGCACACCTTAAGTCGGCATGCACCAGCTCTGTTCAGTGTTCAGGAGCCGCACAAAAATACAGTCGTTTATTTATAAAATACAAAAAATCTAAACAAAAAATACAAAAAATGTAAAAATACAAAAAAAAAAAAAAGTTCCACATTTAAATGATCATATGCAAGCGAACGTTACGAATTGTACAAACCAAATACGAATATCAAAGTAATAAGTTATTGGAGTTTTTATGCATGCAATAATAATATCCGAGATCGTCTACATCGTGAAGGACCATCTATAGAACAAGAGACAATCGTAACAGGATGCGAAGGGTCGTTTTTGAGTGGTGCTGATATCGAAAAGTGTACTCGCTCTCGCCGCCAAGTCGCCAGCACCACAATCCGGGACCAACCGAACCACACAACTGCAAATTCGAAAAGTAATTTTCGCGCACACCCAATGCCACC